TGTTGATGATGCTGGTGTTGATGATGCTGGTGTTGATGATGCTGGTGTTGATGATGCTGGTGTTGATGATGCTGGTGTTGATGATGCTGGTGTTGATGATGCTGGTGTTGATGATGCTGGTGTTGATGATGCTGGTGTTGATGATGCTGGTGTTGATGATGCTGGTGTTGATGATGCTGGTGTTGATGATGCTGGTGTTGATGATGCTGGTGTTGATGATGCTGGTGTTGATGATGCTGGTGTTGATGATGCTGGTGTTGATGATGCTGGTGTTGATGATGCTGGTGTTGATGATGCTGGTGTTGATGATGCTGGTGTTGATGATGCTGGTGTTGATGATGCTGGTGTTGATGATGCTGGTGTTGATGATGCTGGTGTTGATGATGCTGGTGTTGATGATGCTGGTGTTGATGATGCTGGTGTTGATGATGCTGGTGTTGATGATGCTGGTGTTGATGATGCTGGTGTTGATGATGCTGGTGTTGATGATGCTGGTGTTGATGATGCTGGTGTTGATGATGCTGGTGTTGATGATGCTGGTGTTGTTGATGCTGGTGTTGATGATGCTGGTGTTGATGATGCTGGTGTTGATGATGCTGGTGTTGATGATGCTGGTGTTGATGATGCTGGTGTTGATGATGCTGGTGATGATGATGCTGGTGTTGATGATGCTGGTGATGATGATGCTGGTGTTGATGATGCTGGTGTTGTTGATGCTGGTGTTGTTGATGCTGGTGTTGATGATGATGGTGTGGATGATGCTGGTGTTGATGATGCTGGTGTTGATGATGATGGTGTTGATGATGATGGTGTTGATGATGCTGGTGTTGATGATGCTGGTGTTGATGATGGTGATGATAGTGATGATGTGCGAAATGCACAAAATGATAAGCTGCTGAAATTCCAATGCATCAGCTGCCGCGGCGTTCCAAAGCAAACATACGTCTAGTCCGAAATAAATCGACCTAGGCTGTCTGATGGCGACGTCGGTACGGCACGGCACACCGGTTCGTAAGAGCGGAACGGCGCCCTTCACACACACAGCCCTAAGCCGCTGGAAATCCACGGGTCACACCTCTCCGTATACCCCCATTCATCTCTTTAAACTCGCGAAGAGGAACATGTTAACACGTTCGTCCCCCCCTTCGCGACCGGCACCGCAGTGTCGTCACTGGCCCAACCACCCCAACCACCTCCCAGCCAGCACCCTCACCGGGTACAGCACGTCCGCGGGCAACTTGGCGCCGTCGGGGCCCAAGCTCTGACGGTGCTCCCCCTCCTCCTCCCCCTCCCCCTTCCTCTCCGTCGCCAACCGCTGCTGGTGCTGGTGCTGCTGCTGCATGTCCTGCCACCACGCTTCAGCATACCTTCCCCGTTCAGACATCCCGGAGGGCGGCAGAAAGGAGGGGAAGGTAGAGCAAAGGGAGAGGGAAGACGGACAAGAGGGAGATTGGATGCAAAGTACAGCGGCAGGAGAATCCTATGAAGCAAGAAGCGAGGGGGTCAAGTACCGACA